GAACGTGAACGGTTGCAAGTGCAGTCTCGGGACATTACGCCATTGTTCCCGCAACGGGAGCAGAATAGCTTTGCCGTGCCTCGACACTCGGTTCTAAAGTGTCCGGTTTCCCCACATCTCCAGCAAAGCTGTCTTGTGGTTCGGTCATCTGCGTTATCGGACCTACGGTTTCGGTTGCCAAATTCCATTCGATTAGGCCTTTCGGTTCGGTCTGGTGTACGGGGTTGGGTTACGGAAAGACCAGCTGGTGGTGAATTCGCTCTTCGGGAAGTGAACGGGGCGGCCTTTAGCTCGGATAGTAAACTTTCAATTTCCCTTACGGTGCGGGAAAATGAAACCACATCGGTGACGTCACTTTTGCGAATATGCTGGCGGTAGTCGGGTAATAGATTCCTGTACAACCACTGAAGTTCTTGTTCTGGAGTTATGCCACCGTGCCTTCTGATAAGCGTCTGTAGATCGGTTATATAACGGTGCGGCGGTTCATGCGGTTTCTGAAGGCGGCGGCTAATTTCGATTTCTAGATCGGCGGCATAATTAATCGGAAAGTAAAAACTTCGGAAATCTCGCAGGAACTCATCCCAGGAATTCCAGTGTGCTCGGTTATTTCGGTACCATAGGGATGCATCCCCTTGTAAAATTTCGGGCATGTGTGGTAATAAACGGTCTATGGCAATCCCTTGGGAGGCACAAATTTCCTGGAGCCTTTCGATGAATGTCACTGGGTCGGTTCGACCATTGAAATTGACATTCCATTTCTGCACCTTCAGTGGTATTATCGGAGATCCGGATGTGACTGGAGAAGACAGCGGTCGGTGAACGGTAATAGTCGGTAGCGGCGGATTAGGTATTTGAGTTGTAACCGGCGTTCCAATATTTGCGGTACTGGTTTGAGCCTGGACAGCGGTACCACTTGCCTGCGTTGGATGCATACTGGCAAATGTCGGGAAGATGAACCCTGTCATAGTAGTCGGTGCTGGTGAAGCCTTTCCCTGGCGATAAAATGTTACCAGTCGCTTCTTCAACGTGTCAACGGTACCCGTAGTATCTAGTCCGAATTTATTTAGTTCCGCAGTCAGTTCATCCTTCTTTAATAGGTAGACAAAACCAACACGGCCATCGTTGGGATCGTACCAAGCGGGGTAAGTGGTTATGGATACACTAACGGGCGGATTCACTGGACTGGTTGTCACTACGGTAGAGGCGGCGGTATTCGGTGTACTAGTAACTGGTGGGTTGCCATTGTTGCCGGTGCCTCCTGGCATCGTAATTTGGTCGGTAAACGGTAGCGGAATATAGACTAAGGGCTCAAATGACAACGGCCTTCAGCGGCTAGTTAACAGCAGGTTCGTTAGCAGGCTTACGGTTACGGTTACACTCGGTGGTACGGTACGGTTAAGATTTGGAATGTTTTCGGCGGCGGTCGGAAGAAAAAATAAAAATAAATAAAAATATTCAGGTGGACGGTGGCTCAAGACTGACCAAGTGATCAGGTTGACGGTCGGACGGTAAGTGTTTGGAAAATATTTCGGTGAACGATTGAGTCTAGAGTGGCCAAGTGATCACCTCGACGGTCGGGCGGTAAGTGTTTGAAAATATTTCGGTGGACGATTGAGTCTAGAGTGACCAACTGCTAAGGATGACGGTCGGACGGTAAGTGTCTGAAGTGCTCAAGTGATCAAGCGATCAGGTTGATGGTCGGACGGTGAGTGTCTGAAGTGCTCAAGTGATCAAGCGATCAGGTTGATGGTCGGACGGTGAGTGTCTGAAGTGCTCAAGTGATCAAGCGATCAGGTTGATGGTCGGACGGTGAGTGTCTGAAGTGCTCAAGTGATCAAGCGATCAGGTTGATGGTCGGACGGTGAGTGTCTGAAGTGCTCAAGTGATCAAGCGATCAGGTTGATGGTCGGACGGTGAGTGTCTGAATCTCGCTTAATCGTCTTGCCATATACTCCCTTGCGGTAGTAGGGAGAGGTTCGGCCACCAAAAGTTGGTGGGGATTTTTACGGAAAACCTCGGAATTTTGAGAGATGTGGCAACCTCTGCAAGATACAGTTATTCCCTCCAGGGAATTAGACTCGGCAACCTCGAATTAGTCGGAAAAGATGTGTAACTCGGTTTGCGCATGCGCAAAATGAATCGGGCAGAAAAGGGGTTCGGTCTAGTTGGATCGGTTCTCGGATAGCGCAACTTCGTTCGGGCGGAAAGGGGTTCGGTATAGATTGATCGGTTTTCGGAGAGTGCGGCTTCGTGAAACTGGCGGCGGACGGTTGGATTGTGTCTCACTACATTAGGGAGACTATTTACAGATGGAGAAATTGAAATCAGCTACCGTGGATTACGTGTAAAGGAGCGGATGCTCAGATTTTGGCCCGCGCATGCGTGCACAATACTTCCCAAAACGGAAGACTTCGGTCCAATACGGTACGGTTTACAGGAACTCTTTTTCCACGGTCGGACGGCATTGGTTAAGACTCTCAGGTCCTGGGGCGGATGATAAGGCACGCGCGGAACTGTCCCAAAAGGAGCGGTTTATTTGCTCCGGCGCTATGCGGTCTAGCAATCACATGAAAAACGGTACGGTAACGGTCAGACCTACGGGTGTCGCCAAAACAAACGGCCTCTCGATAGAAATGGGGACTGGTGATGACGTAATCCACTCGGTCATGTGCTGAAATCATGGACGTGCGCAGAACGGTCCCTGCTGGGGCGCCAAATTTGTAGCGCTACTTTGGTTTTCCCGGAGGAAAGCGGTTGATTTCGGAATTTTCGGAAAACTCGGGCGCCACCCTTAGGATTAATGTGGTTAAGGGCCCACGTGCTCTGGGTAGCTTTTAAACAGTGGAGACGGAAAACCAGGTGTCCCTACGCATTTCCCAAAAATGAAACACACAATCCAACCAAGAAAGTAGTTTTTATTGACTACCCAATAATTTATAATACAAAAAGGAAATGCAAGAAAACTTAATTAAGATACAGGTTTTATAAAAGGAAATGCTAAGCGGGGAGTGAGGGGGAGCGAACGAAGTGCGTGTGCGTGACGGATTAGTCGCGTGAATTTAACGGTTCGAGATTACGGTACGGTGACGGTTACGGTAACGGTTAATCGGCAAAAGAAAGCTCCAGGAACCAGGATCGGTCCAGTATCTACACCGTCAGCATGCAGGATTAGGCCTTTGGGCCTCGTGCGCGAATTTCTTACTCCGAATAGAATGCAGGTCAGAGAGAATAGGTGTGAAGAGTAAAGAGCACTACCCTGGTCGTATCACAGCCCGTAGCCCTATTTACTCTGTCACGGAACGAACGGAGCTGCCCTGTTTATGTGTTCCAGCCCGCAGTTCCGGTCACTCCGTGCACAGAAGAGAGAAAGAAGAACTGTGTAGAATAAAGCGCGCCACCCTGATACCAGCCCGTAGCGTGCGCTATTCTGCCACGGAATGAACAGAGCTGCCCTGTTTATGTGTTCCAGCCCGCAGTTCCGGTCACTCCGTGCACAGGAAAGAGAAAGAAGGACTGTGTAGAATAAAGAGCGCCACCCTGTCACCAGCCCGTAGCGACCTTTATTCTGTCACGGAAGGAGCAGAGCTGCCCTGTCCGTATTCCAGCCAGCAACTCCGGTCAACCCGTGTACAGAAGAGAGAAAGAAGAAATGTGTAGAATAAAGAGCGCCACCCTGTCACCAGTCCGTAGCGTCCTTTATTCTGTCACGGAAGGAACAGAGCTGCCCTGTCCGTATTCCAGCCAGCAGCTCCGGTCAACCCGTGTACAGAAGAGAGAAAGAAGAAATGTGTAGAATAAAGAGCGCTACCCTGTCACCAGCCCGTAGCGTCCTTTATTCTGTCACGGAAGGAGCAGAGCTGCCCTGTCCGTATTCCAGCCAGCAGCTCCGATCAACCCGTGTACAGAAGAGAGAAAGAAGAAATACCTGCATTCTTACCCGTACTTACATTAAACGGTCGGCTAACATCTGGCGTCGCGGCGCTGCTGACGGCGGCGGTACTGGCGGCGGTGGTTTTACCTTATCGGTCGGCTGCGGCAGGTCGGAGCGGTCTGGTAGGTCTGGTCGGTTTCGGAGCTCGGAGAGAAGTGACCAAACGCAGTGCGTGCTGCTATATTTATAAGCGGGAGGCACCGCGTCATGTCGTCGTCGATCGGCAGCGCAGATATCAGCGGTGGGGAATTGAGTTTTTGAAGCGCGTCGCGCACGTCGGTTTGTACTGGAGAGTGCTTTGCAACCGAGGTCACGCGTAGCCACAAAATATCAGTAGCAAATTAATTTAATTAACGGAAACGCGGATAAATTAGTAAAAATCTAGTAACCTACGTTACAACTAGAATCATTCTGGATGGCAAGGAAATATTTATTGAAAAACCTTCTGATTGTTTACTTCAAAGTTCGACATATTCAACCTATAAGGCTCACAACACTGCTCGAGGAAATATAGGTACCTAAACATTTCGTTTTGCCTAAATAACTAATATTTTTGAAAAAAATTCATTGCAGGCATTACACCAAATGGATTCGTATCATTTGTGTCACATTTGTATCCTGGGCGCATTAGTGAAAAGGAGATTATTACTCAAAGTGGATTGTTTGAGAAAAAAAAAAAAAAATATGACTCTGTAATGGCTGATAGAGGTTTCACTATCCAAAATGAGCTAATATCCATTGATGTGGATCTGAATATTCCACCTTATCTAAAAGGTGCAACTCAGCTTCCGTCTGAGGAAGAACAAATGACAAAAGACATAGCAAGTATTTGCGTTCATGTTGACAATATGTTTCCAACTGAGATTTTTTAGGGGATATTTTGAAAAATTAAGAGGAAAAACTAGAAATACAATGCAAAAAGGATTTTATTGAAAGTACTGAAAATAAAATCTTGTTAACTTAGGTAAACATTGTTGGATCCAAAAATCGATTCTTTCAACAAAAAAATCGCTGCCACTGTCGACTGAAAAATCACATATCACAATATCTGTAATAGCCATTTGGCCTTTTACCTGAAAGAGAAATCATGGTTCCTTCTTAGCTGTAGATTTCCATTCATCAGTTCTAGATATGGAACCGAGCCTTTAGAAAAATCTTCTAGAACCTTTTGGTTTTCTAAGAGTCCACTTTTAACCAAAGTCTTAATTTCAAGCAGATTCATAGTTTTTTCGTCAGGATTATAAAGAAGGCTATTAGGTGATGCTGCTAAAAAAGGAATTCCAGGATTGACGCACAGGCCACATGTGAACACATCGACATTTGGGTATAAATCTTTATATTTCGACACTGCTGCAGTTTCATTGATAAGACCCTGCTGCATCATTGCACTTTTAAACCCTGTGCCTTTTGGCCAAATTCTGCTAATCAGTTGAATTGTAACTGGAATAGTCCTTTCAATTATAGCACCAAATTTAGAAGCCGAGATGCGTTTTTTTCTTTCTAAATGCCATCTGCTGGAAGAACTTTGGTTTCTTGTCTCAGCTTCTAAAAATCTGCAGTCATCCAAAGACAGACTCACATTATTAATAAAATCTATATTTGGTAAAGAGTCACGAAAAATTACTTTTAGATACTCTTGGCACCATATCCAATTAATTTTTAGTGGCAGAGGCAATTCTTCTGGTCTCTTTAAATTGTCACACTCGTTTTTATTTGATTGATTATTTGGAAGCTTTATGGATATGGGTTCATAATTATGACTTGCAAGTACTTCACTAAACATGGTTAAATTATTCTTCTCTAATGATTCTGAGAACTGTTTGATAATAAAAGGTGAGAGGTTATTTTCTAGATGTTGCCTATTAAACGTTGTCCTACATTCCTGAAGTGCTGCAGTTCTTTTATTAGGTTTCTTTGGATCAGGTTTATTGAATTTAAGGTCATGAAATTGTTTTTTCACAACTTGGCGATCAGACCCAGTACTCCATGTTCTGGGTTGTGATGTTGAAGGAACTGGTTCATCCAAAACATTAGTTCGCTCCTCTCTAAGATGGTCCAGAAGCTAATAAAGCACTGTAAAAATGTGTTTACATCGGCCACACATCTTCCCACAATTCCAAAATATATATATATATATATATATGGCAAATGTATCTTTGTTTTTTCATAGTTGCTTCAACATTAGCTTTTACTATAACCGAATTTATCGGATAATGTAAGTAAATATCACTTACTTCTGAAGCTTTGAACATTCTATATCCCAAAAGATGGTGCTTTACAGAACCCTCCTTTTCTACTTCCTTATAAGACAGTAATTTTTGTTCAGAAAATGTTTTGGGAAAAGATCTAAAATCTTTAGTCCAAGGATCTTTGGGAATATCCTGCATTCTAGAATAGCTATTTACCTAACAAGTGCGGAAAATATTTTCCGCAAGTGTTAGGTACAATATTTTTCCTACAGGCGAAAAAATGTAAAATTTGTCTTTTTTTTTGACATATCAGTGCGGTAAAAAAATTTCCGCACTGACAGCCGTGCGGAAAAACTTTTTCCGCACTGATATGTCAAAAAAAAAAGTTTTACCGCACCGTGCGGGAAAATTCATTTTCCGTACGCGTATCAGTGCGGAAAATCGATTTTTCCGCACGGCTTTAGGAGAAACATATTTCCATATTTGTAATTATTATTACGACAAGTTATGTATTTCCACATCCAACTCACTTTAGAATTATGCAGCAAAATCTGAATCTGAATATAGGTAGTCTGTTTTTTTAAATCCCTTTCACTCTATTTGTAGAATTTATCATATTTTATTTCGGTGCTAGATGGCAAAAGTAAATACAAGGGATGTAGGGATTTGCTTGCAATACCTACAGTGCTTGATTGAAAAAAATACAACTTGTCAAAATATTTATTAAATTAAAAGATTAGATCGATCTGTAACAATGCAGTGCCTTCGCAAAAAACCTGCTACATTTGTAGATTGTTTGAGAAATCAGACCCCAAGGATCGGTCTAATAATGGTGGACGATTCACATATAACAACATATTGTCCAAATTGAATCTAATTGATCTGCCATAGTGATTGGAACTGTTCTACTAAGTATCCTGAATATTTTAAAACTGCGTATTGCTCTTTCAACATGAACGCGGATACTTGCTATGTCTCTTGTCATTTGTTCTTCCTCAGACGGAAGCTGAGTTGCACCTTTTAGATAAGGTAGAATATTCAGATCCACAGCAATGGATCTTAGCTCATTTTGGATAGTGAATCCTCTATCAGCCATTACAGAATCCCCTGGTGCTAATTTCTCAAACAATCCACTTTGAGTAATAATCTCCTTTTCACTAATGCGCCCAGGATACAAATGTGACACAAATGATACGAATCCATTTGGTGTAATGCCTGCAACGAATTTTTTTCAAAAATATTAGTTATTTAGGCAAAATGAAATGTTTAGGTACCTATAATTCCTCGAGCAGTGTTGTGAGCCTTATAGGTTGAATATGTCGAACTTTGAAGTGAACAATCAGAAGGTTTTTCAATAAATATTTCCATACCATCCAAAATGATTCTAGTGCTTGGGTATCTTGCCTTAAAACACTGAGGCATGTACTTTTGCACAATTTCTCTTTTTTTCAGCTTTGTCCACAAAATTGTAAAATTTTCTGACAATAAAGCAAATTCTTTCTTTCTTTCTTTATTTCTTTCTTAGTAGGCCAAATAGGCAGTTGCCGAAAAAATGCATTAAGAACATATGTCCACTGCCTGGTAATCACAGATATAATGCCAACGGGAAACTAAGTCAATTACCATTAAGCCAAGACGCCAACGAGTTATTGTTAATAGAAGTTGAATTCTTTCAGGTACCAAAACTTTTTCAGACTTTAGGTTTTTTGGTGCATTTTTACTAAATTCCAAAATAACATCCATAAATTGTAAAAACCACTGCTTGTCATCAAATGCAAATGTAGTGTAAAAGTTCATAAAACACAGGTCTTCTAATATTGGATTTGCTTGACTTTGCAATTAACTTTGTTTTTCTAAACTTGACACTTGATTCTCTAATTTCCAAATGTATTTTTGGTTCAACTTAAATCGCTCCGCATCATATTTTCCAGGAATATAGGCATAACTGTGTTCCTCCATGATTGCATCTTCAATGCTAAATAGAGCTGCAAACATAAATGAAATCAACTTAGTATAATTTAAAAGGTGAATATCAAAGATGAGGTAGGGTATGTGTATGCATAGGGTTCATGGTAAGACAAGGGTAGACCATACCTACCTAATTTTAAAGTTTACACAATTATTTTGTATAGGTACTATATGATATTTAAACAGGTAGATAGGTTCTCCCTACAAAAGCATCTAAAGTCTGACTATGAGTAGGTACTTACTTTCTGGCTTGTGTTGTTCACAGAAAAACTGTTTTCGAAGAGAACCTTCTTCGCATGTTTTTACAGAAAACAATTTTGTTATTACATTATTCTTCGATTTTGATGATTTTTTGCATATTGCACAAGTATGACCACCACTGTATAGAATTTTTAATACCTATTTAGAAGTACCAGTCATTCTAGTGACTAAACGTATGTCACTTCTTGAACATACAAATTAAATTAGGTTAGGAATTTCCTATTTGTACATGAATTTGACGTCGTAATTTTTTGTTTCATCTGATTCGTGATTGATAAATAAGGATGGGATTATTCTAAATGGGTATTAAAAATGCTATATCTATTCAAATAATTTGAAGTAAAGGTCCTGGATGTATTATTGTGCAAAAGGGTCTCTTCACTCTCCTCCTCCTCGAACATATTACCAGTGGCAAGACTGGAAAGTGTCAGTAAAAATGATAAATCAGAAAAACTAACCCAAACTTAAAAAAAAGAGGCACACAAACCCTTTGTTTGTTTGTCAAAGTGACGTGTTTTGGATCCCTGACTAGTCAAGATGCTGTCAAACTTAAATGTCCGCCAAGAGGTACAAAAACCATTTGTTTGCTTGTTAGACCGGGAGTTAGACGGATATGAGTATGCAAAATGTGAGGACCGGCAAAAATGCTCAAATTCGTATTCCTGTGATCCTAAAGAATGGGAAATTACATCTTGCCGGCAGCTGAAGTGGTCCCTAACTTTCCTGCCATCCTCCAATGCAAAGTTATATGGAAAATATCACAATTTCAAGTCATTCCACAATAATTCCTATTGATTGTACCTAAGGCTTTCTTTCCAAGCACTCAAAATAAATTACCGACAACTTATATATATATATATATATATATATATATATATATATATATATATATATATTATATATATATATATATATATATATATATATTATATATATATATATATATATATATATATATATATATATATATATATATATATATATGATATCTCTGCAATTCTGCTCCAAAATATACACAAGTAAAAGAAGACTGCGAGATGTACAGGGTCATCCAACGACGACTGAACAGGGACTTCTTTTTGACCTTCCCCGTTCCTGTAGTTTTGAAAAAATTCAAAATAGCCAATTGGCATGTTTTTTTCTGAAGAATTCAAAAATGGTACCAAAAAATCATTTGAACCCAAAACCAAAGAGTTACGCCATGGATTAACTGTTTTTCAAATGGTACCCACACCTTGTTTATTATATAATTTCTGGAAAAGTCGCATTTTTAACATCTATTCCTTTGAAAATATTTGATATTCCGATACCTATTTTTATTTTATTTTAATGTTTCATCCCTAATAATTTTAGCCTCACCTGTTTAATACATCTGTGATGGCGACAAAATATGTCAAATTTCTTTTGACTTTGAACAAAAGGTGATTATACCTCTATCACCTATGAACCTATTAAATTGAAAAGGAAAAATTATTGAGCATAAAACATTAAAATAAAATAATATCAGCGGAATATCGAATATTTACAACAGAATAGACGTAAACAATGCGACTTTTCCAAAAATGCAGGTCTTTTATTTGAAAAACAGTTAACCCATGGCGTAACTCTTTGGTTTTTCGTTCAAATGATTTTTTGGTGCCATTTTTAAATTCTCCAGAAAAAAATATGCCAATTGGCTATTTTGAATTTTTTCAAAACTATAAAAACGGGGAAACTCAAAAATAAGCCCCTGTTCAGTTGTCGTTCGTTCGTTTTATTTGTGTATATTTTGGTGCGGAATTGCAGAGATATCTTACAAGTTGTAGGTAATTTATTTTGAGTGCTTGGAAAGAAAGCCTTAGGTACAATCAATAGGAATTATTGTAAAATGACTTGAAATTGTGATATTTTCCATATATCTTCCTATTGGGGGATGGCAGGAAAGTTAGGGACCACTCCAGCTGCCGGCAAGATGTACTTTCCCATTCTTTAGGATCACAGGAATAGGAATTTGAGCATTTTTGCCGGTCCTCACATTTTGCATACTGAACTACTTGTAGCGCCTGCTCTATGTCAAAGTCGACGTTTTTTGGATAGGCTAATAGAATCAGACAGAGAAACAAACAAAAAACAAAAAGGATAGCGAGGATCAATTATTTAGTTACTTTTGTTTTTAATGTTGACAGCCCGCTAGTAATTTTTGTTTTCTTCTTTTGGCAACTATTTTTTTTGAATATTCTTATACGATATTATGTATGTATTGTCAATGGAAATAAACGACTTGTATTGTATTGTATTGTATTTTTTCAACTTTTGGTTTCATAGCGTAAGGCATGGCATAGGCTTTTCTAAGGACCGAAATTGTATCTTCTCTCAAATTAAATTTGACTTCAAACTCTTTTATTGGACTGCATAAATTTTGATCGAAAACGTTCGGAAAAGCGCGTTTTAATTTATTTAAATCAATCAATTTCAACTTTTCACTACTATTGCTGACTTGATTCACAGAAAAACTATTTTTCCAATTAGGATATAATGTTTGAAGTCAATTTCTGCCTATTAGTGACACAAAATCCTTACACGACTCAATAACAATTAAAGGTAAACTATAATACTGATTTTTAAATTTTACATCTACTAAACACTCACCACGAGCCTTGATTTCCTACCTGAAACTGCTCTTAACTTATAGAGAACAGGATTTAAGGGATATCCCAAAATTTTATGAAACTGTTCTGATGACATTACAGTTTTACACGCACCAGTATCCACTTCGAAATTAACAGACACACCATTTATGCACAAAGGCACTTTATGTGATGCTGCTTCGACTATCTGATGAATATTGAGTGTGTGCAGATCTTCATTGATTTCGTCGCATTCAACATCATTTAAACCATCTGATGTATCACTATCTTCCGAAAATATATCCCCTGGTGGCTGTTCTTCTTCTACAAAACCCATCTTACCTTTCTTTGGACAAAATCCTTTGACGTGCCCCATTTTACCGCACGTAAAACATCTCCAGTTTCTTGCAGGACATTGCCCATATTTTCCATGAAGTCTTCCACAATTTTTGCAAGAATTTTCCGAGAAAGAGCTAGCTTGCAATGTAGAATTTTTGTAACTTTTAGATTTTTTTCTTATCCAGCTTACATCACTACAACTGGTACTTTCTGTAAGGTCTTTTACCTGTTTTTCAGCTAATTCCGCTGCTTGAGCCTTTTGACAAGCGGTCGTAAAGGTCAATTTTTCATCTACTAGAAGTGTTTTCTGAATGTGTTCTGATTTAATATCACATACAAAGCGGTCTCGTAAAGCTTTATCCAGGAATCCTCTAAAATCACATGTATTTGCCAGCTTTATCAATTCTACTATACCGGGTGTTTTTCAAAACCCGCTCACCCCTATAACTTTTTTATTTATCCAAAGAAATGAAATTTTGTGTGTTTATTTATGACCCCGATTGGCGTATTCAATTATTTATTATCATTTCCGGTTTGACCGGAAGAGACCGTAACTTTCTTATTTTAACTGAGACGCCAGGTATATTTTCCCTTATTTCAATAGAAAACTACATCACGAGTACAATGACACCTCACTTGTCACTTTTTGAAATTTCATCTCCAAATTATTTAAATTTTTACTTTTCAATCCAGAGCGCCATGAATTAGTTAAAATGCTTAGTTTTGCTCGAAGAAACCTGGGAAAATTTGTTTTGATCTTATTTTGTATTTTATATCTTCAACAGTCTCATTTAAAAATACTAGAAGTGCATTTTTGGAATTATATCATTTTTTTCAAGTGGAAAGGGTATGGCTCATTAGCATATTCCGAGAGAGCATTTTCTAACGAATGATTTGAAACTTCACAATCGCTAATTTATTCAAATATTGAACTAAAATTTTCTTAAAAATATTTAGAATGCTAGGAAAATTCTTCATTTGAGTGATGAACTAGCGATTGTGTGGTACTGAATTGCTCGTTAGAAAACGCTCTTTTGGAATATTGTAATGAGCCACACCCTTTCCATTTGAAAAAATTGAGATACTTACAGAAATGCACTTCTACTACTTTTTAATGAGCCTGTGGAGGATATAAAATACAAAATAAGATCAAAACACATTTTCCCAGGTTCCTTGGAGCAAAATTAAACATTTTAACTAATTCATGGTGCTCTTGCAGTAAAAATTTAAATAATTCGAAGATGAAATGTCAAAAAGTGACAAATGAGGTGTCATTGTACTCACAATGTAGTTTTCTATTGAAATGAGGTAAAATATACCTGGCGTCTCATTTAAAATAAGAAAGTTCTAGTCACTTCCGGTAAAACCGGAAGTGATAATAAATAACTGAATACGTCAAATAATGCACATCCGGGTCATAAATAAACACACAAAATTTCATTTGTTTATTTGGAAAAATAAAAAAGTTATAGGGGTGAGCGGGTTTTGAGAAACACCCGGTATAATCAGCAATTGCCTGTCCTTGTTTTTGATAGCACCTATTAAAAAATCTCTCGTAGATTTCAGAAACTGGCGGCAAATAATGTTTTTTCAACCAAATCAGTAGCTTCAATGAAAGATAATTCACCAGGCTTCTTAGGGGCTGCTAAATTTTCTAGAACCTGGTAAACATGTGTTCCAGATAAAGTGATAAACATTGATTGAAACGGAGTTGACTACGAACAAATATTCTAGTCTTTCCAAATAGGACTCGAATTCTAGCCCATTACCACTGAATGGTTCGATATTCCCTATTAATGACATAATCGAAGCACCGTGCTCTCACCTGGCTACGATTGTATGCCTCATATAGTTTGCCTACTGTCAAGATATACCTTGTCACGGGCGGCGATTTACTTTTCTACTACCTTTCTGTGACTGCACACTACCAAACAAGCTTCTGGCTGATGCAACGTCAATGGATACAACCCACTGATTTCTCGATTTTTGGCACCGAACATTCCGTATTTAGCTTAGTTCACCAAAGCCTTACTTTTTGAGAAGACGATACTGCATTTTTATCATAAACAACCGCTAAACGTCAACTGACTCAATTTCCTTCAACTGACAAGTCGGGTTTTAACTATCAGGATAGAACACAACAGCAACATGGTAGTCGGAACGGAGCGTGGCAAGAGAATCACTTAACCTTTCATTGGGCGCGTGAGTTTTTATAACATCATTAGTCGCGCTGTATCACAGAGATACATATACTAAATCATTGATAAAAAAATTGAACCATCTGATGAATTTCGGTTTTATAACTTCTATCTATTGATTCGTGTATTCAACAATCAAAGATAAAATATTTTCACTGAAAAAGAGATTCCAGAAGTTGGATTCTGTTTCCGCAGTCGTTGCAGTTTGGCCAACAACGCCCGGCAACTTTACCATATTATTATGTGGTCTCCTGCGTGTCAGCTTGGGAGGAATTTTGTCTCATCGAGTTCCATCTTTACCTAAGATGAACAGCCTCATGTACCATAGTATTTGTTTATAAAAAAATTATATTCACATACCAAGAAAACAGTTACAATTGAGGAGCACCGATGGTAACAAGAATAGTCGCGTTGAATCAGTCAGGTACAAAGCCGAGCGCACCCGTAGTTTTTTGGAAATTCCAAATTTACAACTAGAGGTACGACCATGTTCTTTTGGGAAAGTAATTAGTATAGGGCACCTAAGGACTATTACAAGTCATAATATTATAGAGTTTTTACTTTTTGATTTATTTGCAAAAATAATAGGCATATATCTCTCAGGTACACGCGCGACTGATGGAAGGTTAAACAAGGTGGCCGTGAAAAAAGGTTGATTCGCAAGCTCTCCGGTTGCTACGTGGCTGAAATGGAGCAGTATTCGACTAGAGAGACTTCTCCGGCCGAAATGTCGCAATCATCATAAATACAGATAATCGAAGTCCAAATTCCTGTCCTCAAATTTTATTGTGCCAAGCTAGTCGTAGTTATGTGCATCACAACATACCAAATTGTTCATTTTATAGCATAAAGTTTCCGTGAATATTTCAAGAGTTCAAATTTCAAATGCAAAATATGATTCTTGCTCGAATATCCAAGCAACACTCCTTCAAATTTTATTTTCATAAATTTTTCAGGTACCGTAAGCTGCACATGGTAACTATAATTTTTATTATCCTATTCGCATGACACTCTTGTCGATTTATGACATAATTTGTAAGTATACCATTGCTTTTTGATATTTTAAAAATATTTTTACCAACCAATGCTCCAAATCAAGTTAAAAACAGTTCAAATTTCCTGATGAAATTACAAGATATCCTAATTATAACGAATACACCTACACAAAATTCTGACATTAGCCAGATTCGTCCTGAATTGCTCCGTAAACTTAATGTAGGCAATAAATTTTTAACTGTGCGCCCAGTTTAAGTTAAAACAGGAGCACATTGCGCCTCCAGGGACCCCTTCTTGTACATTATACGCACTCTCAGAATAATGAACATTAATTTAGAATTCAAGGTGATTTATAAATTCACTTAGCGCCCAGGAAACTTTAAGTTAATTAAAAAAAGATGCAAATGCTTCCAGCCTAAGCGCGTTCCTTTAAGTGCAGTTTTATTTCGTTATTAAATAATTATTCCGTGCTTTATATCCCGTGCCGACCGCGAATTAAGTTAGGGATCCCTTTTGTCGATTTGGACCCAAATTAAGAAAAACCGAGAGAATGCCCGGATAAGTTCTATTGCGTTGTCTTCTCCTTCGTTTCCAGAGTAGAGTTATAATTTTAAATTAAAGTCTTGGGTTTTTGTCTCTTAATATCGCAAACGGAGGGGACCTTCTTTTTGTAATAGTCATATTTTGCAGACAAAGACAAGAAAAACGATAGCAGATAAATAAACGGATTCTTTTTACAATAGTAGATACAACAAACTACGCTTCACGTTACCATTTTAATATCCCATGAAACTCCATTTATTGCTTCACCACCAGAAACTTCTTTATTACAACCGAATTGAAATGTAATCGCTAAAAAGTTACTGTTTACTCTAAAACGAGTTTCAGAGAACAAGCTCTAATCGCCACAATAAAAATTCCTACGAAGCATTTAACAATAATAAATTGGCTCCAGGCTTTTCAATAAAAGGAGAGAAACCTCCGATATATTTAAATTTGGGCTATGAACGGAGGAGGAATTCTTAAACGTTCATTAATTTAATTGGGTTAAGTGAACAGGGGTGCTTTGCATTAATTATTGATGTATCTTGATTCGGTATTAAGAGAGATCAAAAAAGCTTTTGAAGGAAATACCTCTAGTGCAATAAACGTCTCTTCTTGTTGAGATGATAGCTAAATTTTCGAGCTTGCTTACATCTTATGAGATATACTTCAAATGCTTAGGATGTGCATTTTCATATGTTTGATATTTTAAATTGTTGGTGTTGTGATAAATGTATCTACTCTATTCCACTTATTTCTAATTTGTTTTGTCATTTTCCGTAGCAAAAATAAAGTAATTTCTTTGCACCATAAAAACAAAACTTTGCCAGCGGATGAAAACTGAAACCTATCGAAACTCCTCGTTTCAGTTTTCCAAAAGTCACTTCGAATGAAGATAAATTTCGTGAAACAATTGCTAAACGCCCTGCGGAGCCTGAAACAGACGCCATTTTTATTGCTGCCTTTAGAAATTCATTAAATCGAATTTATTTAGCATTTGGAGAAAAGTTTTGCTGTCAGTGCTCCTGATATATTTTTGAAGTTCTGAATAATTATTATGGAAACCTATTCCACTTCTATGGTATAATCAATGAGGGATTTAGATGATTTTTCAGATTGTAAAAAAATATTTCAATTTACCAATTAAATATATATTTTGATTCAATTTAAATATTAAGTGCATATTGGTTTCAAACTTTTGCCCAGAAAACTATAGCCGATAAATTCAGTCATAGCTTTTCTTTCTCGGTATTGACACGAA